TTAAGGCATTTGAGTTGTAGGCCCTTGCTCTACTGTGGACTACAGAGAAACATAGGACTTGCCTTATCTTGCCCAATATGGAATAGAGAAGACTTTAGTTGAGTTTGGTTCTCAACTTTGCAACTTTGTAACACCACTTTCAGTGCCTACAATGAGGCTTGTCATATTGTGAATGTTCAATAAATGAGTTTTGCCAGAATAAAATGATATATGCAAAAGAGGTATTACAAAATCTCCCTAAGCTTCTTGAAAGCATGCATTTGCTTCTCAACTTGATCAAATGTCTTGTCTTCCTTGTTTAATTGCTTTAGTTAACCACCTGCGTGTTTAATTTTCTCTGTTTATTGTCACCTTGCTTGACTTTAATTGAACATTCTTAGATGGCCAATTTCATGCATTTTAATGTCCTTTATACCACTTTCAGTGTCAAAAAATACACTGGTGGGCATCATTGCTAAGTATTGCTAATAATGATATGTGGATAATATTTTTGCATTCATTTCTTCAATAGCGATGAAGTGATTAAATATGTAGGTCAGATAACAGCATTATTGGCAACAATGAATTTTACCGAAACCTTAATTGGAAGCCATATAAAATTGACACTCAACCAAACTATATTGATGTCTATAATTTGGGTCAGTGTAGACCCCGAGGTCTCCTGTGGCTGCTAGGAGGAATTAATTTCCCAGCCGCAGCAGATGATAACATTAATGACTTACGCTAGGAGGGATTTGCCTGAGAACTCCAATGTTCCTTGACTAAGCTGCAAGGATGTGTTTCTTATACGCGTTATCATCAGCAAGTCTCTTTGCAGCACCAGTGACCTGGGTACCACTCTCTAAATTCAGAGATGGTTCAGCAGCTTGGCCCCTGGAAAGATATTTGGAAAGTTTCCCAGTACAGGAGCCCTACATGAGCTGGAGGCAGGAGAGTGATAATTAATAAAGTGCCAGACTAGATAATTGTGAGATCTATAAAAGATACTAAAGTGTTGTCCCTGGAGGCACAGAAGCACCTGTGAACGTGTGAAGTTACTGAGTGTGAGGAACATCACAGGGGAGTGGGTGGGAACTACTGCTTCTTTTGAAATAATTCAGATTTCAGACAGGGAAGTTCTTTAGAGGGAGGAGAGAGACAGAATTAATGAAAGGAAGTACTCTTGTATAATTTTGTGATGTGTGTTCTTTTGTGAACTTCAGACAAGTTTAACTGTGGCGTTAGTGTTTTCTAATCTCCATAGCACAGATGAGGCATTGCCCTCTTAACCCTATGTATTTATGTATTTACTTATTTGTTTGTTTGTAATTCTCACCCATAGACATATTCATTGATTTTTAGAGAGGGAAGAGAGATATATTGTTGTGTCTCCCTACTCATCACCATTGGGTCCAGGGATTGAACCACAACCTGGGGATGTGCCCTAACCTGGAATTGAACCTGTGACCTTTCTTTATACAACCAACAAAGACACACCAGCCAGGGCTTACCTGATTTTTAAATAACAATTAGACTCCCCTTACTGTGTAACAATTCACCTCCTGATAAAATAATGTTGAGTGAGATGACCTTGAGTTTTCAATGTCACCCTATATTCCCCACAGACTAATGTCTACCAAGTTTCAATGTACATCAAGTTAATGAGAGAGGTCCTGGTCAAGTAGCTCAGTTAGAGCATCCCAATTTGCCAAGGTGGTGGGTTCCATCACCAGTCAGGGCATCTATAGGAGTCAGCCAGTGAATGCATAAATAAGTGGAAAAACAAATCAATGCTTCTCTCTCTCTTTCTCCACCCTCTTTCTCTCTCTCGAAAAATCAATTTTCAAAAATAAGTTAATGAAACTCTAAGAATGGTGAAACCTACCACATGGTGTTGTCGTGAGAAGGATTGAGGATTATTGAAAACTGCAAAAATCTAAGCAATTGATAGCCTATGATAAATGATAGATCCCATGGTAGCTCCATTGTTGCTTTTGTTATTGTCATTGCTCTTGAAATGTTTGTGTTTTTTTTGTGCTTTTTTTGAGAAAAAATATCTGAATTATTTTATGACTATTCTGGCCTTCTAAATATCTTCTCATACATGGATTGTACAAGGTGTAGCACATGGAGGGACAAATATATGTTTAAAGTTGTTCATGTGGAAAATAATATAATGAAGATAATACAAAAATATAAACCTATTTTTGGCCCACCCTGTATATATACAAAAATTGAAATTTTAGCATTGCCGTATAATATTATTTTTCTCCCAGACCACTCTACTCTCTTGTTAACCTTGCTCAGAGATTAAACTGTGTTATTTCAACCACAATGCTCTGATCCCACCTGGTTGACCTACAGTGACGATCACACAGAGTCAGGGCTTCTGACTGCCCCCACTTCAGGTAACAACTGCAGGTCTCCAGATCCCAGGCTCCCTGCCTTTCTGCTGAACCCGGACGCAAATTCATCTGTTCCCCCTTCAGATTTGATAATTCTCTAGACGAACTCACCGAAAGTTGTATATAGTTGATCTTTGAACAATGGGCGGTTAGGGATGCCAATCCCTACTCATTGGAACCTTCTTGTATAACTTTTGACTCTATAGTAGGTCCTTTACATTAGTGCATTAAACCAAGTGGGGATAGAAAACAGTTATTTTGATCCCCAGGAATCCACAGGTCAGAAATTATAGTTTTGATTGCAAAAATACTGTTTTCCATCCTGATTGGTTAGATCTGCAGATGTTGAACCCAGAGGTGTAAAGGATGAACTATATTTACTGGGGGGAGAGAGAGGGATCTGCATACAATTACTAGTATACTGGCATAGTTCAAACCAGTGCTGTTCAATGTTCAGTTGTACTTATGATTACTGTGTTACAAATGATGAGCTAGATGAAGAGGGAAATAAGGTGGATTCGGAAGGCCCAAATCTCTGTCTGTCTCTGTGGAGCTGGGTGTGCCATGCCCCTAGTCCATTGCTATGTTTAGTAACAAGGAAGCCTCTTTAAATCTTATCTATCGGAGTTTTTATCCAGGTCTCATTACCTAGGCATGCCTGATTAAATCATTGGCCAAGTGACTGAACATCTCCTGACCTTCCATTCACCCTGAACTAATGAGGAATTTGGATCCCGTGGTGGCTGCCCACATCCAGATACCTCTAGCTACTCATCTAACAGCAGAACCTCAAATTAGTTTATGTTTCAGCATAAACCTGGGATGTTCAATGAGGATTAGTTATTAACAAAAGACACTCCTATTGCTCAGGAAATTCCAAGGACTTTAGGAACTCTGTACCCAGAACCTGAAATAAAAAGCCAAATATTATATATATTTTTATTACTTTATGCAAACTTTCACAAATACTCATTAGTCAGTTTCTTACCTTGTTCATTGTGTTTTGGGGATTTCTAAATGAGAAAATCTTGACTTCACCCTTTTCTGTTCATCATGGAGCACAGTCTTGTGAAAAGTGCCTTGATATAAGGTGTACAAAATTATTAAGATGTATATCTGTATTCAAAATGGGTTGCCTAAAATTCATATTTATTTTATATTCTTTGTATTTTGTAGATTTTTGATGCATCAACTCAATTTGCTTCTTTCTCTTTATTTTTTTTTTTTATTCCTTACCTGAGAATATTTTTCCCATTGATTTATTAGAGAAAATAGAAGGGGGAAGGGAGAGAAAAGAGGAGAAGAAGAAGAAAGAGGAGGAGGAGGAGGAGGAAGAGGAGGAGGAGGAGGAGGAGGAGAGAGTTGAGAGAGACAATCGATTGGTTGCTTTGCCTTCTGCATGTGCCCCAAAAGGTTTGGGGATTGAATGTGTAACCAAGGTATGGTGCCCTTGACCGGGAATTGAACCCATGACCCTTTGGCACATAAGCTGACACTAACCACTGAGCAATGCCAGCCAGGTTTGCTTGCCTTCTCTTTTGATAGGAAGTTAAATACAATCTCTACTTAAAATAAAATTATTTCTCCACTTTCAATGTATTTTGCCTTCATTTTATTTTCAACTTTTTTCTGACATCAAGTGTATTCAAAGATAAAATTATAGGCTCAAAATCAATGAAGTACTGGGTCATTTTCCATGCAGATATATATACAATATATAAAATGTATTTTTGTGTTTTAATCTGTTTCTCTCTAGAAGTTTTCTTTAAAGATATTCTCTTTAATATGTATCTTCTTTCAATATAAATATACATGTAAGAAAAGTACAGTCCAAAAATCATGATACTACATAATGTAACTATGTCTTTTCATTTTGATGAATATGCAAATATTAATATAAAAGCATTTTGCTTACTTAAGAATTTCATTGAGTTTTTGCTTTTTATTTCTTATAATGAAAATATAGTTTTATAGTGATAACATGTAGAAAAAAATATGGTAGCAATTATTTTATTAATGAAATGTTTACTAAATGTTTACTCTCTAAGTATTTGTATTGTTCTGAATAATCACACATACATATATGCATGTGCATGTCTACTACAGGAATTAGAATGCCTGTTTAACAGTTTATGGGTTTAACAGAAATGATTTTTTTTAAAAATATGTGTATATCTAAATGCATGCTAACCTGTTATTAAAGACTAGAGGCCCGGTGCACAAATTTGTGCACAGGTTGGGTCTATGGCCGGGTGGAGGGTCTGGAGGATTTGGCTGGCCAGCCCCCTCCCCAATCAGAGCCAATCAGGGGGGCCTGCTGGCCTGGGTGAGAGACCATGGGAAGTTGGCTGGCCAAGGGGAGGGACTGCACCAGGTTGGCCAGCCAGCCCCCTACATCGGGGCAGATTGGGGGAGCCTGTCAGCCCAAGGCAGGGACCATGGGAAGTTGGCTGGCTGTAGGAGGTTGGCTGTGGGAGTGCACTGACCTTCAGGGGTCAGATCTTGTGTTGTGCATCTGCCCCCTGGTGGTCAGTACACATCATAGCGACTGGTCATTTGGTTATTCGGTCGGTTAGGCTTTTATGTATATAGGTAATTGTTTTGTTTTGTTTATAGGGAACCTTCAAAGCATCAAGACATTCTGTTTCACCAGATTTGAAATATGTTCTTCTGGCATATGATGTCAAACAGGTAAAGACATGATCTCCTTTGTTGTACTTTTTCTTGCAATGCATTCAAGTGTCATTTATAGTTTTCCTGGATTATCTACTCATCTAGAGAAATCTTGGTTTATCTATAGCTGCAGGGGTCACTGATTATCAATATTGCACAAAAGAAGTTCTTAGTCAATGTCCTAGCAAGTACCTGGTGGAGTGGTCCTCCAAGTCTATCTCTTTCAGAGGGGAGTGTTTCAGGTTAGCTGGTCTGACAAATGGGAGATTTTTACCTTTTCAGGGTAGCTGTACTCTATACTTGAGTGTTTCATGTGTGTATAAACTAGGGAATTATCTTAATGGCTGTGCCCTGGATGGCAGTGTGGATGATGGGAAGGGACTGGTGAGAACATTTATTTAAGTTATGGTGAAAGTGTTCTTTGGTGGTATTTAAGCATAAGCCTTATGGTTGTAGAAAGTTCTGAAAGTGGTGCAAGCCAAGAAATTAATTCTGAAGAAAAATAAAATATTCTAAATGCAATTGGGGTTTTATGATTTAATGTCAGCTCCACAGCACAATTAGAGCAGTACTATGGTTGAGTATTTAGTACTTACGATGTAATTCTCACTGTTAAAAAGCAAAGTAAATGTTGAAAAGCCAGTTCAGCAGATTAGATTCTGTGGAAAATAAATGACTGGAAATCATTCAAGAAAGTTTTATGTGCTTTAGGACAGACAATAAAAATTTATAGACTTAAGGCAGAGAGCCTCATATAATGCATTGAAAGCTTTTTAGCACATAAAATGTCACAGTTCAGTGGACCTTCTGTTTGATGGTTTTAGTTGTTTGAATTAGGCATGTACTGTATGGTTAATGAGTTTATGTTTTTATTTAAAATAAAAACATAAAAAAGAGTAAAGGAGATTGCAATCAAAGAAATTTTTTTTCTATAATTCATCCTGGCCTTTTTTTTTTTTTTGCTTTTGTTATCTCTATTTAGTTGCATTTTTGAAAATCATGTGTAACAGTAGAAAAAAATACTTGATTTTTGTAAACAAAACTATACAATACCCCAAACTTAAAAAAATATATATTATTTTAATTGAAAGTAAGTGTTATATTAAACTGATAATAAATTGTTTATGTGTGTTTTTTAATCAGGTCTCAGTAGCTATAGAACTTAAGGTTAAGTGGAATTGGCAGAGGAATTGACGCTATACTAATAAAATGGTAATATGCTCATTAGACAGGTTATCTTCCAGATATCTTTCTGGTCGTCCTTCTGGATAAATCCATGGTGACAGGGCTGATACAGAGGCAGTTAGGGGATTCAGGCTGGCAGGGGAGAGCAGTTAGAGACAAACAGGCTGACAGGAGAGAGCAGTTGGGGGATCAGGCTGGCAGGGGAGGGCAGTTAGGGGCAACCAGGCCAAAAGGGGAGAGCAGTTAGGGACAAATAGGCTGGCAGGAGAGAGCAGTTAGGGGGATCAGGCCAGCAGGGGAGGGCAATTAGGAGCAACCAGGCTGGCAAGGGGAGCGGTTGAGGACATCAGGCTGGCAGGCAGAGTGATTAGGAGCAATTAGGCAGGCAGGTGAGCAGTTAGGAACCAGTAGTCCTGGTTTGCAAAAAGTATGTCCAACTGCCAGTTTAGGCCCGATCCCTGGGCTGCAGGCCGGGGTAAGGGACATCCCCTCCCATGCACAAATTTCAGGCATTGGGCCTCTAATAAATCAATAAAATGGAATAATGAACCCAGAAATAGTCCATACAAATGGGCCTAACTGATTTCTGATAAATGCTGGCAGGGGAGTGGTTAGGGAATGATCAGGCTGCCAGACAGAAGCAGTTAGAGGCAATTAGACACCAAGCAGGAGAGCGGTTGGGAGCCAGCAGTCCTGGATTGTGAGAGGGATGTCCCAGATTGGAGATGGTGCAGGTTGGATTGTGGGACACACACACACACACACACACACACACACACACTGCACGAATTTCATGCACCAGACCTCTAATTTATATGGAGGCCCTAACTGCTGCTTCTCTGCTGGCCTGAATTCCTCTAACTGCCCTCACTTGCCAGCTTGGTTGCCCCTACCTGCTCTCCCCTGCAATCCTATTGCTTCTAACTGCCCTCACCTGCTGGCTTGGCCACCTCTAACTGCACTCCCTTTTTAGCCTGATCACCCCTAAATGCCTTCCTCTGACGGCCTTGTCCCCAACTGCTCTCTCTTGCAGGCCTAGTCCCTCCCAACTGCCCTCTTCTGATGGTCTGATTGCCCCCAACAGCCCTCCCCTGCTGGCCATATTATGGTGGCCATCTTTGACCACATGGAGGCAGCCATCTTGTGTGTTGGTCCTTTCCAATTGCCCTCCCCTGCCCACCCGGTCACCCCTTACTGTCCTCCCTTGCTGGCCTGTCACTCCTAACTGCCCTCCCCTGCAGGCCTGGTTGCCCCCAAACTGCCCTCCCCTGTGGCCTGATTGCCTACAACTACCCTCCCCTGTTGGCCATCTTGTGATGGCCATCTAGTGTTTACATGGAGGCAGCCATATTTGACCACATGGGGCAGGCATCTTGTGTGTTGGAATGATGGTTAATTTGCATATTACCTCTTTATTCTATAAGATAGAAAATGGGCAAGGACATGAGACATTTCTTTGAAGAGGACATACAAATGGTAAATAAGAACATAAAAATGCAGTTAACATCATTAGCCTTTAAATAAATGCAAATTAAAACAAGAAGGGTTGCCACTACTCTCATATCAGAATGGCTAAAATGAAATAAAAATGATTATACCAAATGATGGTCAGTATTCAGGGAAACTGGATCAGTCATACATTGCTGTTTGGAATGTATAATAGTAGTGCTGCTCTGGAATGTAATGTATAAAACTAGGTCAACTTTGAGTACTTGAGCAAAATATGTCAAGATTATTTGAGAATATAATTAATGCTAAAAATGTAAATTAATGTATTAAGAAAATGTTTATATTGGCTCTCTCTCTCTTTTTTTTGTTTTGTTTTTTGTTGTTTTTTAAATTTCAGGAAAAATGATGAGTCCTGGATTACTTTATTAAGAAAAAATGATCAAACTAAATTTCACAATCTTATTTCACTTCATTTATTTCCTATTCTATTTATTCATCAATTGTTTGGTGGATGCAACTGGAATAGACATTGTATAAGTTTGTGTGTGTGCATCGGAATCAGCTCAATTAGGAAATATAGACTCTGGTGGAAGTAATATGACCAATTGTATCTATCACATACAACAAGGTAATCATGCTGGAGCAGGAAGTATATGCTAAACTTTGAAGATCAAATGAGGAAGAAAGAAAAACATTGCAGAGGTGCAGACAACATGGGACTTCATGGGAGCAGTCTTGTCTTTGAGGGATAGAAGCCAATTCAGACTTGTCCACAGATTGACACTTTAAGCTTAATAAATTTTTTAAGCCCAAATTAGAGAAGAACTTGAAATCTCATTCTATTTTATACACTTTATACTAAGGCAGCAATTGGGATTATTGACAGTTTTAGAGTAATTAATTAAATGTCATGCTTACCACGTGCGTGTGTGTGTGTGTGTGTGTGTGTGTGTGTGTCCATGCACACATGTGTATAATGCCCATTAACAAAAGTGGAAAGAAACAATCACACAAAATCCAACCACCCAAACACAAAATCCAACCACCCACACTCTAAAAGTATTTTTGTGTGTTTAATTCCTTTTATCCCCCTTTATATATAAAAGTGGGGGAGCAGGAGCTACCATAGATACTATCCATTGTTTTAGGTCCATGCTATTATCCTGATTTCAGAAAAGAGAAAAGTTAATCTCTCTGAAAAGCTGGAAAATGCAGGATCAGACAGATTTAGAAATGTATCCAAGGTCTTTCAAGTAGGAAATACTAGCTGCACCCTAGCAAATTGGCTTTGTAAGATGATTTGTCTCTATCTTCATTACAAGGCAAATGAGCTGAACTAGAAAAGCTCAAATAAAGGCTGGATTCCAACTTGCAGAGAGTCTACTGGTGGTGATTGTGCTTAACTCTGGCTGCCTCTGCTGACTGGTCTTAGTGACGGGTGGGGATCTCTGTGTTTGTTCAGCTCTTTTATGCCAGTCTCCTCATGGTTGCAGTACTTGTCTGACCCTTGTAGCATCTCAGTTGGTGACTCTGTTGACACAGAAACAGAATCTGAAGCAAAGCAAGAAGAAACCTTTAGGTGCATGCCCCTGAAATACTGGAGAAAGGAGCAGGAAATCAGATAATCTGTAACATTTCCCTGTGTTTATTTAGATGTTAAATTTGCATGAATAAAGGTCAAATAAATAGAAAAAAAAAGTTCTACTTATATCCAGATTGTTGAGGTTATCCAACTCTTTTTTTTTTTAAGGATATAACAAATATTTAAGAGAAATATGTATATATTGATAATAAACACTATATTATTTGGCCAAGAGAAGAAGATTCTCTCAGTGTTTTTGTGTTGTTTCTTTTTTTTCCCTTCTCTCTCTGACTTGTGACCATCAGTATGTACACTAGTTGATATAGCTCAGCAGGAGTTTTCCTGCTTGAATCCTCACATCTGCTCTCTTGACTAAAAGATGGAGGAAGGATGAATGACAGATCCTGGAGAGAAAGACATAATATCACGTATATGTGGATTTTAAAAGCCAAACTCTTAAAAATAGAGAATCAAATGGGGGTTAGCAGGGTATGGCAGGTGGGGAAACAGGACAGATGCTTTTAAGGGTTCAAATTTAGAACAAGTAATAAATAAGCCTTAGAGATATGACACAGAGCACAATAAACTTAGACAAGAGTATTGTATTATAATCATCAAACTTGATAAACTAGAACCTAATTATCCCAACTACTTAAAGGAAAGGATAATTATGTAACATGGTAGAGGTGCTAATTATCTTTACAATGGCAATCACATTACAATATATACACACATCAAATTAACAGGTGGTACACCTTAAATTTATACAGTGTTAAATATCAAATATATTTCTAATTAAAAA